AAAAAAAAAAAAAAAAGGCTTTTTTTCTTCCTCTTTAGAAGAAGAAATTGGTCCTGCCCTAAACCCCCCCACCCCGGCCTTGTGTGCCTTTCAAAAAAAAAAAAAAGGCCTTTTTTCTTCCTCTTTAGAGGAAGAAATTGGTCCTGCCCTAGACCCCCCCCACCCTGGGGTTGGCAGCGGCGTTTGCACGTTCAGGGCATCTGCTGCAGCCCCAGGATGGTGTGCCCAACCGGGTTTTGGGTCTGAACAAAAGATGATGAGGCCAGGAATTGCCTCTTTTCATCTCCTGATTACTGGTGGCTTAAACTTCACCTAATAGTTGGTTTATCCTGTGCTGCACGAGCGCCCAGAGCTTAACCTCATGCTGCGGGAGGTGTCTCTGAGAGTCAGGTGCCTCCTGATCAGACACACTCCTTGGGAAGCCCAAATTCCTGATTTTTGTAACCCTTTTTCCACACAGCAAAGCTCTCACCATGCCTAGGGTTGTGCTCGGTGGTGGGAAAGGCGGGTGGGTAAAACGTGGGGGACATCTTGCTTCAGACCCCCCACCAACGCCAGGCTGAGCTTTCCCAGAGCTTGGCGAGGGGTTGGCAAGTTTTTCTGGCCCCGCCGGGTTATTCTTCTGCCGGTCCCCGAGCGAGGGATGATGAAGCAAGCTATTGTCAGGGAGAGCTGGCTGGGGAGAAGCATCCTCCGCGGAGACGCCCATCCGCCCCGAGAGCTCCTGCCTGCGGAGGAGATTTGGCAGAGGGACCGGTTATGCAAAGCTACTGCCATGGCTGTGAGTAGCTCCATTGACCTGGAGGAAATTTGGGGAAGGAGGCAGGTTTTTGGCCCTTTCCCAGGGCTGACGGGGAGCTCTATAGACCCACTGTAGGCACAGCCCCGCTCCCTGGTGCAGCCCGGTGCCTCCGCCGTGGGTTCCTGCTCCCCTCTTTCAAATGGGACTTTTAATAAGGGCCAGGACATGATATTAGGTGCTCTCTCTTGTTATTTTTTTTCTTTTTTTTTTTTAATTGAAACTCTATGACTGCATTTTCTTGGACCCAGCTCTTTGGTTTGTCATGCCTTCCCACCAGAAAATGCACAACCCATGTTTGTATCGTATTGCAAAGAGATATTTACTAAACGAGTCTCTGCCAAGGGGTTGAGAAATATGTTTTCATTAAGAAAATTAAACTGACAAGTCCCTGGACAGCACATTAGTCGCATTTTTCTTTTCTTTTTTTTCTTTTTTTTTTTTTTTTAAAGGCCAAAATGCAGCAGCTAATAATAATGATGAAATGTCCGTCCACAGCCAAATTACTAAAATCTACCCTGTGTTTTCCTGGAAAAGAATGCGGAGAGTTGGCAAACTTGGTTGTAGCTGGGTCTGTGGACTGCTGAGTACAATGCTACCACTGCGAGATACCGAGCGGTTTGCAAGTTAAGCAACACCTTCAATCAGATGCGAGTCCCCATTTGTTATCCTTAAAGAATTTCAGCTGTATATATTATAGTAGTACTTTGGCTCTTTGTATTTATTTTAGGGGGCTATACTAAAGAACATTATAAACTCAGGCATGTCCATGCTATATGAAGTCCATATGCTGAAGCTTAATTTTAAATGCCATTAAAAAAGCACTTAACATTTACAATATATCAGTCCGGCTACTTTAGCAGCTTGGATGTTCTACAGTAAATGAAATGATTAAGGAAAAAAAAAAAAAAAAAAAAGAAATTCAGAAGCTAGATGTTATAAAAATCCCCGACGCAGGACATTCGGCGGGTACAGCGCAGTAACTGTCAAATAGTATCCATCTCATTTCTGGTTTTTAATCAATTCCTCCTCATTTTTGTTTCATTTTCAAATGTCATTTTAAGGCCCAATTTAAAAAAAAATAAAAATCTTGGCATTCAGATTGGATTCCTTACGCCATTTTTTTCAACGTGTGAATTGGGCTGTGTATTCGCAAATTGAAATGTCCTACTGTATTTATCCAGGTGCTTACCTGTAGGAGGACAAGGTTAAGAGGAGTGCAGAGTTTATGAATGAAAATCAAATACGGACATTGGTAAACCACCCTTTTTTAGTCCCGGCTAATTACATGGTAAACATCTGGAATTTATGCAGGGCGGGTAAAAGAGTCAATTGAAATGGTTTCGAACAGGGCCCATTTTGTTGCCTTCTCCCCAAGCAGCGACAAAATGGTGCTGCAGACCTGGGCCCGGGCTGGGGGCAACGTGGGGGGAAAGGAGGGATAAAGGCAGGGGGCAAACCCTCCTCGACGTCCGATGGAGAAACGACATCAGAATTTGGGGTAATTATTAATTAGGGTAATTAGAAAGATGCCAGGATGTGGCAGTTCTCACCCTCTGTCCCCTTACGCTGGTGGAAAGGAGAATTTTCTCTTCTGTCTGGTCGCTTGAAGGCCAGTCTGCCCAGTTGGCATGGTTTTTTTTTTCACTGGATGAGGAGGAGGAGGGGGGGAAGATGGAGAAAATGGTTACTCTGAGGATGTAAAGTGCCTCATCCTGCAAATCCTGGCTTCTGCTGCAGTCTGGAGGGCTCGGGAGGCCCGTGGCAGCACCCATACCCATCAGGGCCATCTCCTTTGGATCACAAATATACTGGTTTCACAGCCATAGCTTTATAAAAAAAATATTCTCTAATATTGCAAAGATTCTTTAGACATGTAAGACGTATAAAAATGTACTTTAACAATACAGGGGTTTATGTGATGTTGCCCATTTGGGGTTCTTGCCCCGCATCCGCTGAAGTCAATGGTAAATTGGTGGGACGGGTGTGTTTTCAGTGGGGGTCTCTGTGATGCTCTGGGCTGGAACAGGGTTTAGCAGCATGCTGTGAATTTGGGAAATTCGGGAAGGCCAGAGGAGTGGTGTCTGCAGGGTTTAACCCTTAGTGTCCCCCCCTGGCTTTGTCAATCCTCAGTTTTGGGTCCGTGACGGGGAACGCGGGTTCAGCCGCTGCGCTGGGAGGTGCCGTGGTGGGACCTGGTGTCGTGGACATTGGGAGCGTGCGAATGAGAAAGCCACGTGTGCTTTGTTTCTGCTGAAGTGCAGTTAGATCTCAAGACTTTTCATGCATGTTCATGGCATCAAGAAATCTGCATCTTTGGGGCTGCCAGAAGCCACGCAGAGCCTCCTGGGGTAGAGAGGGCTTCTGGCCGAGCCTCCCGTAAGGAGGGATGTGTCAAACCCCCATTTCTCCCTCTACACTCACCTTTTCCTGATGCTGACCCATAGCTCCCCTTCGATATACCCTCAGCCTTATTTATGCCCCATTTTGCACTAACCCTTTGCAGCCCATGCTCTGGAAAGGGTGAGTTTAATTCAGGTGCTGTGTAGGCCGCGATAACGTTTTGTAGCTCATTTGTCCTAGAGTGAATTCCTCACATGGTGGATCTGCCTTTTGAGGCACCACTCCAAGCTTCCATCTGTCCCAGCACTGCTCCAGGTTGCTCACTGACGTGTTAACCCTTTGCTTTTCCTAAGGAGGATGTTTCCTAGTTACAAGGTTAAAGTGACCGGAATGAACCCCAAGACCAAGTACATCCTGTTGATCGACATCGTCCCGGCTGACGACCACCGGTACAAGTTCTGTGACAATAAATGGTAAGAGAACATTGCTCTTTGCCTTCTTTTCCATAAGAAAATTGCAATTGGCTCGACCGTTTGCTGTGCAAACTCAGAAACCAACATAAATACCTTCCCACGGGAGGGATGCCAACACCCCAGAGCCCTCTTTCATGGAGCAGTGATAGATACAAGAGCCAATGGCTGGAAGTTAAAACCAGACAAATATAAAATGAAATATTCTTAACAGGCTGGGTGATTAACTGCTGGAACAAACTGCTGATGGAGGTGATGGGTTGTCCATCCCCCAAAGTGCTTGAGATTGGATGTCTTCTCAGAGGAGATACTTTAGGCCAAGCATAGGTTGTCTGCCTGTGTGCAGGTGTAAGAGGGTAAAGCCACAGCCTGGGTTATGCCAGAGGCTGGACTAGATGATCTAATGGTCCATTTTGGCCTTAAAAATTGTGTATCTATGTGAGTCGAGAAAAGTTTTAAATTCCTTTCTTCTGTAGTAATGTTTTGCTTCTAAAGCAAAACATGGGGTGGCTTACTCGAAGCCCTGGTTCAGGCACGCTGCTCCGAGTCTTTTAATTTATTCTTCCGCCAGAGTTCCCCTCTCTTCTGTCTTTCTTCCCTTCCCTGGGCCTTTGACAGCAAAGTTGCTTACCCAAGAGACAGAAATGAATTTTGCTTTCTGCTGAGGGGAGCGTGTTGTTTTCCCTCGTGGTTTGTACCCCGAATGTGCCCAGCAGCCTCCGGCACCGCGACCATTCCCTCTGCTTTTCCCAACCCCTCCCTCCGACCGGTGCCTGCTGAAAAGACCAGCAATGGAAAACTTTGTAGTCATCTTAATGGGAGCGGGCCTGGTGACATCCTATAAAACTGTAATAATTTACTTGCACATTAGGGCTGTTCTAGTTTTTAAAAAACATCCCTTTTCCACTTGCTTTTGTCCTGCAGTGCCGCTGGGCAAGAGGAGCGGACTGAGGGCTCCGTGGCACGGAGGCCACTTTGTGTTTTAACCATTAAGCCCTAGATGATGGATAGTCGTTAACTCTGTTTAATTCAGCTTTTGCCAGCCCTAGAGCTGTTTCCCCTTTTCATTTTATTGCTGCTGGAAAGTCTCTGTTGTTTTTGGTAATATTGCTTTTATTGGTGTTTTAGAAGAGGAGAACAATGCACAGTAATGGGGGAGCTGCCATTAAGTGATGTCTCATGGCTGGGTCTTGTGTCCGTGAGAGGTGGTGGTTGGTGTGGGGACAAGGGGAGCTGGCAGGAGGGTATGAGGGGCCAACACGCAGCTCCAGAGCAGGGAGCAGCCCTTTACCATCAGAGATGCCACCCAGGTGGGGGCTGGGGGAGCCCTGCACGGCCACAGAAGGTGCACCCATGGTGGTACCCGCTCCTGCTCCTAGGTGCCTTCTCCTGGGAGTGTCTGAGACCTTCTCCCCTTGCAGAATGGCCTTTGAAGGCTTCATCCTCTCCAAAAACCCAGATGAGATTTCTTCCTTGACCAATACCACCACAATCACCACGCAGTGACACTGCCCAAGGCCATACCACACAGAAGCAGGGATGGGGTTACTCTGCCAGACCTCTGGAACGAGGAGCCCTGAAACCCTCCCATGAGCAGCAGGAGCCTCTCCGAGCCCCCCACGCCCCAGTGTGTCCCCCCAGGGCTGGCGGGAGGGTTGCTGGGTTGAGTTCAAGGATAAAAATGCTCTCCTAGCTCCAAGGTGATGCCATCTGTGACCGCTGTGTTTGCAGGATGGTGGCTGGGAAGGCAGAGCCGGCCATGCCGGGGCGACTCTACGTGCATCCCGACTCCCCCGCCACGGGAGCCCACTGGATGAGGCAGCTGGTGTCCTTTCAGAAGCTAAAACTCACCAACAACCACCTGGATCCCTTCGGACACGTAAGAGAGACGTTCTGCAAGGGTTTTTTGGGCAGAGAGGATGGCGAATTTGTGCCTGGTCGGGATGTCGAAGTGAATTGAATAGGGAGGAATGTTTGTTTTGGGCTGGCGGTGCAGCTGGGTGGGGAGTTTAACGTGGAGGGAGGTGGGCTGCCCCTGCTGCCTGCGTGCTTCCCCTGCTCTTGGGAAATGCAGCCTCTGACTCGCTCGCTCGTGTCCTGCCAGATGCCACCGACCTTTTATTTTCTGCCCAGGAACTTTCCAGGCAGCTCTGTGGGATTTTCAGCCTGGCCGTTGCCGCGCAGGATCCACACAGCTCACAGAACCAGGTTGCATAAACTCATTATTTTCCAAGCTGGCTTCGGCAGCCCTATAAAAGATGAAGTATTTTATTTGGAAAATCTTAATTCATGTGTATTGCGAATGCAGGAGGGGGAAGCACACAGTTATCTACCACAGTGCATTAAATAACTCAGAACAAGGGCCCTTCCAGCCCGTCAGGCAAACGAGTACTTAGATAATGAATGTAAAAACATGGACCTGTCTGGTTTGCACTGTCCAAGCTGAAAGTCACATAAAAATAAACAAACCTTGCTGGCTGGGGGAAGGAAAGATAGAGTTTAAAATCCTTTTAGGTTTAATTCCATCAGCTCCTGCTAGTCCCACAGGTAAGAGAATCTACTTCGCATCATCAAATGTGGTTTTTAACCTGCCCGTGCTTTAAGCAGCAGCAGTTTTGGGGGGGGGAATAAGAGGGGGGTTGTGGAAAGGTCCTGAAGAAGGGTGAATGGAGAAAGCTCAATTCTGACACGGCGAAATCAGATGGAGCTTTATGGGGTTGACTCTAAAGGTGGGGTGACCCTATTGGCTTAAAACCCTGGTAAAAATCCCGAGGTTTTGCTGCGTTTAGAACTTTCTGCAAATTTCGATGCCGCGCGGCGATAACCCAGCCCCGCGCCGGGACCTGACCCTCTTCCCCAACCTACTGACCCCGGGGGAACATGTGTGAACTTCAAAGGCTCATCAGGACCATTTAACGCCGGCGTTATTAATCACAGGCAATCTCGCCCCTTCGCTCTTCTTGAGGCTGGGCGGGGAGGGGGGGAAGCACCATGGAAATGGGATGAAAACAAGGGCGTTAAGGGTTGCACAGTAAAAATGACACGAAACCCCTAAAAGCCGACGTTTGGGTGTCGGTGGCCGTGGGGACCCGCTTGTTTTGCGCCTGGTGTATTTTTTAACCCCTGGGTTTTTCTCTTGGTTAACTGTGCAGCTTAATACACGGCTGTTTTGTGTCGTAAAATGTAAACTATAAAACATACAGGATGTTCGATGCGGCCGTAAAACAAACAGGATGTGCAGTGTTGGTTTGGCAACTTTAAACGTTCGCTTTTCCTGACTTTGTCATTTTTTTTTTTAACTGCGATTTTAACGCCGCGTTTTAACGGGGAAGATTTCTCTCCCTTCCCTCTCTCTTTTCATAAACAGCCTGGTTGTCCTCCCACAGAGCTTCCCCAGCCACACAGAGGGGACTCAGGTTTGTGTTTCAGGGTGATACCAGCCCTGCTCAGTGTCCCCGTGCCAGGAGAGCTGTCCTGCCTCGCACACAGCCCAGCCTTTTCCCAGCTCCGTCTCACACTGCTGAGAAATTGCCTAAAATTACCTTTTTTTAAGCACCCGGGTTGCTCTGAGGTTCAGGCACTGACAACCTGCTTGGTTAAATGGGATTTAGCCCTTTCTCAGACAGTTCCTCCTTAGGCTTCTAAATTAATCATCTGCTTTAAAGAAGCATTATTCCACTTTTTGCTGTGGACGCAGAGGAGACCTGGACTCTGTACCAGGGGAACAAGAGTTTTCCAATGGGCTCGTCCCAAAAACTCTCCTGCTGCTGTTGCATGGGTGGCCGATGTCCCCGGGACGGGCAGCATCTGCCCAGCACGGCCCAGTCCTCCCAGTCCTGCCCGCCGAGGGAGCGCCTTATGAATAATAACAGCTTCTCATTTCTAGGAATTTGTTCCCAGCGATTGCAAACGCTCCCTTAAAGTGCCCTAAGAAAAACAAGTCAGCGAACCCGCAGGGTTTGTTTGCCTTCTCCTGCTCCAGCAAAGCCTGCCTGCCATTTCCTTTTGTCTTTGATTTTCTCCAAACCTCAAAACCACGTGGAGGGATGATTTCTGCAGGCTGCCACTGGGGCTTTTTTTTTTTTTCTTTTGCTGTGTGGGCAGCTGCCCAGCCGGAGCCGCGCCGGCTCGTCCTCCCTGCCACCCTCGGCCACCCTGGGTGCCCACAGGTGTCCTGGTGCCAGGCTCCCCCCCTGGCTCCCTCCATCCCCAGCTCCAGCTCCTCCAGCATCCCCAAATTCTGCAAATCCTCTTTGCTGCATGTGAGCAATCCCCTCCAGCCCCTGCTGATGCTCCAATGCTTGGGGCTCGGGCCAAAACTGCAGACAGCAAAATATCTTTGTCCTAAATATTCCTTTTATGAATTAGCCATTTTTTTTTTTTTGCAGACACTTATTTTAAGGAGGAAAAAAAGAAAGGAGCTCTTTTAGCTCCCTTACCTGTTCAGCTGCAGGTTAACATCAAGCATGGGGAGCTGATGGTCAGGCTGGGGGGTGTGTGGTGTTACAGGGGTCTGGCAAGAAGGACGTGGTGGGTTTTATGGGCTCGTGGTCACAGACGAGCACGACAGGCTGCCAGGCTCTGTCCCTGTCCTCAGCTGCCCTGTGTGGTGTGGGGGGGACCCAGGTTTGATGGGCAACCACATCACGGCGTGGGGCACAGCTCCTCCAAGCCTGGCCCCTGGGATCTCACCTGAAAAAGGGACAGGCAGAAATTTCACATTTTTGCAATGACTTCCTTGATAAATGAATCCCTGCCCCGACTCCGTGCGCTGTAACAGCTGCTAAACGACAAGCAGCCCCCCCAGAGTTCATAAAGAGAAGTGTAGGTGCATTTGAGGCTTAAAATAAGTAAGTTAAACAGCTTAATTAATAAGCCACGGAGCTGAAGCCCTTTCTGCAATCCATGGAATTAGCCTGAAGATTATTTACGGTGCTGGCAGGAGGGGATGCCTTACAGGCGGCGCTGGAAAGCCGCGCTTTCTGACACCGAGCCCATAAAAACCCAGCCACCAACCGTCCTTCTCCGGTCCCAAAAACCACCCTCCTGCTGCTCCCACCAGCCAGTGATCTGCTGGGGTAAATTAATAGTTACAGCCAGAGGCATGGGAGGCATTTCTCAGTGCAAACACATCCAAAAGTGGGGATTTTAAATCAGGAGAAATGAAGCGCAGAGCTCTGTAACGTCCCTGCAAACCCCTCTGGTCGAGCAGGTTTTTTGGGGCAGGTAAGGCTGTGCCCAGCTCAGGCACCACGGCCTGAAAATGTGGGCTGTATATTTTCCTCTGGGGGGATTTTCCGACCGTGAAAGGCTTCTTTCACACCGGGCTTAACAACTGAGGAACGCCGGTGTTGAGAATGGATTAAGAAATCAGCAGCTGCTGTAATGTTTCGCGCCGGCGAGGTCTATCTGATCCTAAAGAAAGCATTGTAAGCCATCTATGCTTAGGGTAAAGATCTTAATTTATGTCTTTTCAAATCTTTACACGCAGAGATAATCAGCCTGATAGAGTCCCTGATTTCCGCGGGGCTGGTGAGTGACAGGGAGAGTGACTCTGGCAGAGCTGATGCTTCGCTCTCTAACGCCATGAGAATAATCTGTGGAGTCAAGGGTACTCCTTTAAGTGCCACCAAACTGCTCGGGGGTGGCACATCCCTTACCCATTCCCAGCGTATTCTGCCTGGGAAGCACCTGGCTGTGTTTTCCAGGTGAAAATTGATAATGAACCAGGTGAAGCAGGTTATCTCACTGCAAGTGCTCACAGATGGGCTGGCTAACAGCAGCTGCAGACGATGCGCAAAAATAACCTCTCTGTTGGAAAGGATAACCTAATGCTTGCATTTCTGTCAGAAGGTTAGTTCAGGGCACGTGGGGAAATATTGAGCGAGCCCTGACGAGTATCTCCCTCGTGATAAATGCTCGTGAATGGAATTCCACTTTCTTCAGAGGTTTCAAGTATGTAAACAGCGGGGTGGGGAGCGCCCGTGAGACGGTCCTTATGGCTGGGGAGGGAGGGAGGGGGAGCTCCCAGCCCCAGCAGGTGAAGGATGCTCCGGGTGGGTTTGAAGCTGCCAAATGGGCTTTTTGGGGGGGGTTGAGGGGGGATTGCTGAGGAGCTTTGGCTTGGACCCGTCGTGAGGCTCTTCTCCTGTGCAGCTCATTGCAGTTCATCAGGCTGTTTTCTTGTTTTGCTGTTTGGGTTTTTCTCCACCCCCTGACTCAAGGTGGTGTTTAACCTGCTGAGACTGGCGGCTCTCTGAAGGAAAAATCATCTCTTTTGTTTCCTGGCCAGGGTCCCTGCTCCCACGGGATGGCAGGGGCACGGGGACCATTCCCTGTGTCCAACAGCAACCAACCTCCTGGGGCAGCCAGCCCTCCTGCCAGTGTACATAATAATGTATATAAAGGTACATAATTATGTGCATAAAGGTACTTAATGTACCTTGAGGGGTGGTGAGGATGAGCAGCAAGGGCTAGAAACTGCCCAGCTGCTGCAAAGCTGTTCCTTAGGGCAGACTTCAGTTTGGTTTTACACGACAGATGGGGAGGACATGAGGACTGGCTGTGCCGAGGGCCCAATTTTGGTGGGGGCTGTGGGTTGGTGGCTCCTGAGCTGTCTCCAGAGACAGCTTGGATCTTTCTCCTGAAGACCTTCTGAATGGGGTCTTCAGTATCCAGAGGAGTTAAGGATGAGCTGGATGGCAGCTCCCAGGGAAGCCTGTCTCACCAAATGCACCATGTCTGGAAGAAAAGCCTACCTTAATCTCAGACCCCCACCTCTTCCCCTGATTTTAGGCAGGCTGTGAACACACAGAGCCACGTAAGGCACTGAGCAAGGGTGGAAAAGGGCAGAGGAGCAAACACATCACATCAGGGTTC